GAAGTGAGATCGTATCGCTTGATATCGAAGTAATATTGCCCATAAGGCGAGAGGGCTGAGCCATTAAACACCAATTTGTAGGCAATCGTTAAGTCGTAAGAGGATAAATCAGAGGGATGGGGCTGAATCACTGGCGAATCGCATGAAATTGTTCTATGAATATGTGATTTGATGATGATTGTTTAGAAACTTCCGTTGATGAAAACCATGGTTGTAAAGATTAGAAAGAAATGGGAATATATATTTTTTAGATTTTTAGTGGTTTTTTATTTGGGGCTATCATGAAATAATAATAACCAACTGCCAAGCTATTTGAAGTAATTAAAGCTATCAGGAAATGTTACATTTTAAGTCATATATTGTGTGTTTCTTTGAAGGTATAAAGTAAAGGTATAACAGTTTTACTATTTGCCAATAGTATTAAACAATTTTCCGATTTTATTACTTTCTTATTTATAAATGATGCTTGCGATAGAGAAAAATTAATCACCTTAACATAAAATCAAAATTCCAACACCTTTCTTAACCTCTAACTGTAAAAATACCTAATCACGTTTCTAAGGTCCGTATAATTCTTAACCCGCCACCACTACGTGACTCAATTTCCGGGTCCCGGTCACGCGCATCCTTAACACTTGTTCCCAAACAAAACCCAACAGGAAGATCATTTTCCACACCTTTTGGATCGCTTCCAGGGAAAACGGAAGTCATCTCCCAATTGTCTTGTAGTGTGGCCACAACAGATAGTCCTAGGCTAATAAAGATCTTCACTATTTTAACACCACACGTAGTCCTTGGACATTTTCTGGCTAATTGAGTTATGAGCCAAAACAAGGCAGCACCCAAGAGATCGATTACGATCGATGCCCAAAACAATATTATTTACAATTTTTCTAGGTAAACACGGAGAGTTTTGCACGTGTGTAACAGGTAAATTCTGGGGAAATCTGTCTGGAAGGCAAGGAGAGTGAAAGTGTGCCCAGCAGGAAGATTGTTATCCTGGGCATCCTTGTTATCCTTGAAACGGGATAAGACTGCTACAGGTGGCGCCTAACGGTGCTGCGAGTCATAATATCCCTTGTTTGTTTATATGGGTGTGAGAAATGTTCCAAGGACAGATGAGCCTTTCTTGAGATTTACTTTAAAGATCTTAAAATAAGAATAAGAAAGTTTCAATCATTATTGCTATAAAAGAGAGAAAGAACAGGATCCCGAATCCCTTACACAAAATATACAAATTCTTACTGATACATTTATTACCTACTTTATAAAGTATATAAAATACACTTTACATATATTTCGTATTTAGATTTTGAAGTTCCTAAAGGAATTTAAAGCACAATTAAAATATATATAATAAATCGTTTTGGGAAACTACAACAAGTAAATTCAATATAAGATCAATTAATCTGAAATGTTAAATGGGAAGTTTTTACTAATAGCTCTGTAATTCATTGCTTTGTACTTTGAAATCTTGATTTTTAGGATTTTACAGAGTGGAAACTCGAGTCATCTGCATAATTACTCGCCCAAAGGGAATCTCACACCCCTGGCAGAGCAACTTCTCAGTATGTAATTGAAAAATTGCGGCTTTTCCAACTGCATTTCATTTTCCAACTGGCAGACAAAAAAAATCTCAGCTGCAGCCAATGAAGTTTGCTATTTTTCCTTTCTTTTTTTTGGGAAAAGAAACTATTCCTTCGTTCGGGAGGGCGACTCAATTATGAGGAATGGTTTTTGGTTTTGGGCTCCTAAGCCCGAACACTGCCGCAAACATTCGCATCAATTATGCATACGCCGACGCACACAAAGGACTCTCCCAGCAGCTCCTGAAATCCTTGCTAGCTGGAACTGAAACTTGGCTCGGCCCAACAGCCCAGTTTACCGCATGGCAAATTCGACGAATTTCCTGCGGTTTTCAAGCATTTCACTTGCCCTAAAACGGGGAGAGAATGGTGGGGAAATCCTCCTCAACCGCAACAGATTGGTCAAATTCAATTTATTGTAAATGTGCAAAAGGATTTGTTGCGGGCCGAAAACCGAGAATGCGAGCCCCAAAATGCAGCTGTACTCCAGGCGAAAAAGGGGAACAGTTGTCTTCTCGTTAACATGGCACATCCGCATGTCAAAAATGTCGCACAAAAATCAATCGGTCGGCGACTCTGGGGTCCACTGGGGGTCCAAAAGGGAGGGTCAGACGGACCAGGAACCCTGGGTAAAAACGAAAAAAAAAGAGAAGAAATAAAAACAAAAACCCAATGGCAAACCCAAGCCAAAACCCCAAGCCAACTGAAAAGCAAATTAGCAATTCCGATGCGACCATTTATATTGTTCATTCTCATTGTTGTCGACGATCAGACGATCGCGTTTTTATTTTTATTTCATTTTCTATTTTCCCCAAGTGTGTGTGCGTGTTGAGTATCTGTGTGTAAAGTAACAAAAAGCTCGCTGGATTTTTTAAAATATTCCGCCGTGTAGTTTGGAAGCGATCGACAAACGGATTTTGCTGTTATCAAGTCCCGAACCAAATGCAAATTAGACGCACAAAAGTCAACCGAGTGGTGAAATGGGAGGGGCGGCAATGTCTAATGTCTGACTAAAACCACATAAAACGACATTTTCACTTACCTCGCACATTTGTCAGGCGAACCGAGAAGAAGTTAAAGAGCCATTTATGCTCCAAATGTCGGCAATCAATAATACTTGGAAATATTTCAGTCATGCAAGCTTGTACCCCCGAAAAGCCACTAAAATGTTTGCGTGTTTTGCATTCTTTATATATGGGGCTTGTCATTAGGAGAAAAATTGTTATATTTATTTTAATTTGGCTGGGTTTGTTTATCGGCCAAAGTTTTCTTTGTAAATGTATTACCCAGCAATTTTAGTCCGTTTTGTAGCAAAATTTATTTACTTATGCCCCTGCAAGTTGGCCAGCAATTAATCAATAAGAATTGACAAATAATCATTTGGATTACGGATTCTTAAATAATATTATTTTAATAATTTCATTTATGAATAAAAACTACACTTATGTATTTTTCGTAATTGTATTGTAATTCTAAACAAAATATATTTATAGACTGCGGTTTGTAAATAAGTGTTTAAAATTTTTTTAAAAACAATTAAGATATGTAAAGCATTAATTCGTATACCATAATTGATTATATTTATAAATTCAATCGAAATATATTAAAATCTAAATTCGTGTTTCTTACTTAATTTATTCAATAATTCAATTATTAAAATCCAGCTTTGTCACCAATAATTTGAATACCTTAATAAATCTGTTTAATGTAATGCGAGCTTAAAATAAAATAATAATAAATTAAAATATTATAAAACGCTTATTTTGAAGCTTTTGATGTATGTATGTATATATGTATATAACATATAAATAATAAATGAACGCCTTCATCCAATATATTCAAACAATTCTATAGTTATGATATCTGGGTTACTCAATATTTTTTTAGATTCTGCTGACATCTATTTCCACAGAGTCTCCCATAATTATTTTATTTTCCTGTTGGCGCCAGGGCAGCACATAAATAACTCATAAAAAAGTGCCCACAACAGCAGCCCGCAGATAATTTAACAATTGTGTCTACCGAATATTTTTTTACGATACCCTACCGTTAGGTACCCGAAGATCACTTTCCCTTCGACAACGGGTAATAAATTAATCAAATCTCGAGCTGGACGTATTTTTTCCTGGGAAAACTGCAGCTCACACCTACACAGGGATTTCAGGATTACTGGCAGAGGTACGAGGACGCGTAGTAAATGATTTGTTTGACAACGAGCCAACACACTCAGTGGGACACTTTTATCGGGGGGACTTCGCAGAATCCGGCCACTCGAATATGGTATCTGTGCAAATGATCGGGGAATTGCTGGTCAAGATCTCAGTCGCCAGTTGACGCCTGTGTGGCCATCATTAACCTTTAACCTTACTAAATGGCCGTGGGGCCTCTGCAAATGTCAAGCGTCATGGCCACTTATCGAATGTTGATTCAATGTCCCACTGCCCCTGTGATCTTATTGGGCATTTTCGGGATTTTCAAGGGGTTCGGACACAATTATCACCCCCGCATAAAGCGAAACGTCATCGCTGACAGCCAAGTCATTGTAGTCCAGTCAAAACCCCCGAAATGTTTGTTAATGAATAAGCAAAGCAATACAAAGGATCTACATAATTCGAACAGGAAAAAGGGGGTTAATACAAATGACAACCATTCGATGGTCCGAGATACGGATATCCCTCGAAAACCTAATTAAATGACACGTTTCAGGGAAATCCGATTTAGGCGGGGCCTTGTTTCTCAAAATGGTTTAACTGATGGTTAAAGATTTAACTTCTGCGGTGATAAATTGTTTAAGAATAAGCAATGCCAGATTCCTTATTTCAAGGAACTTGGGACACCTTTTAAAAATCTACACTTTAGATGAATTATTTTGGTAATTGTGCAGACAATTAGGCAGCAAATACCATTTATTTAAATGTTTATTTTATACTACGAATGGAGAAATGGATTCGCTTAACAGAATTTGTAAGGGAGCTGAAGCTAGATTAACTAAATTGCTTAAACATTTTTGAGGCCTTCTTTCCCCTCTTCTCCTATTCCTTCTATTATTTTTAATAAAGCTAAAAAGGTTTACAAATTTTCAAATAATTGAATTAAGGCGCCATCCGTCTTCCTCTTCCATGGACTTAAGTTATAATTTTAACCGATCTGGTAGCACCAACATCTTTTTCCCTTCAACCCATTCTTCCTCTTTCACGAATAAAAATATATACATGTAAAATGTAATGTAAGGTATGCAATTAAAGTGTTGCCAGATTGGTCAAAAAACATTAAGGCTGTTAGAATTTGAAAATATAAAAGGGCTTGCCACTTAAACTATCTCTTAATGTACCTCGATTATTTCTTTTTAAAATGCCGATAGTTTTCACCAATAATACTTAATATTTCCCTAACGCTTTTTTTGTCACACTAACGTCAGAAACAGTAAGTAAAGTTCATCACTTATTTCCGAGGATAAATCAAATTTAGAGATTCCCCGAAAAAATTTAACTGAATAGAATTACTTTCGCAATGTCGCTCAAATACAACGAGGCACTTAAATTGCTCATAGAAAACCTATCCAAGAATCCAACACCTGAGCAACAAAAATACATGCAGGATGCAACCGAAATAGCTGAGCGCTTAAACGAGGGATTCACCAATATCAATTCCATTTTCAAGGGCATCATTAGTAACTGGGACGAGACATGTAGGTCATTAATAATGTATGTATATTATGTATGACACTTATTTATTTACAACTTCTTACAGCTCTTTTCTACAATAATCCTTACCCAAAAATTCTAAGTGGCATACTACATCTTAAAATGCCGTTTAATATAAACCCAGAACGAGTTGTCTTTCCCCTTAATCAAGACCTTGTCAACCTGAAAACGACTGTAAATCATCCTGCAGTTCTAAATGGATACTTAAGCGGCCAACTACTAACCACCTTGTTTTATTCGGATTTATTGAAAGTTATTACCCAAAATACTCGAATTCAATGTAAAAGTGGAAAATCCTACTGCCTTTTCTTTCGCATTGACTCGTTCCACACTTTTGAGATTCGAGCTTGGGATTCCGCAATTGAGAAATTGGAATTTCAGTATAGATTTGCACTAGAATTGTATTTTCCAAACGATTCTATCCCTTACATCTGTTTCGGTACTTTTTTTATGGAAAATAAGAAATCGGACAACCAGAAAAAAGTTAGATTCATTCACACAACCATACACACGATATTGATACAATTGAATTTATATTCCACCTTATCAATCCCAGTTTTATCTGAGGTAATGAATGCAGTTGACCTTGTAGAGGCACCGAACGCTGGCGAAACTTTGTTAGAGGTAAAGTTATTCCGGTACGCATAAAATACTGATTTTTTGATCACTCAAATTATTTGCAGGTTTTACTAAAAATAATTCCAATGTTACAAAATCCAGAACCCTTGAAATCTGTTTACAAGAAGTTATTGCAGTTTAAGAAATCGGACTCGGTGAAGATGTCCGAGTTAATGGAACTTCTTAACTTCCGTTAATACGAAAATTTGTCTTGAAAATAAAATACCCACGCTATTACAAGGATATTATATTTAAATTATACAACACAGGAAAGAATTACAAGAATATTTTACAATTTTGACATGCAACATGGATTAAAAGGCATTACCCTGGATAGTCCAAGAACTGAGAGTTGAGTTGATCCGCAGACAGAAATAAAGGAAACTATGTATAATTGTTTAAAAATTTAAAAACATTCCCTTGTTTAGACAATAAACTATGAAATGTTATTAATTTGAAATTAATAATTACGTATACTTTTATTTTTGTTCATGCTATAAAGTACAACGGACGCACTTCCAGCTTTAAGCTCCTTTGAGAAACTTTCGGTAAGTCGAGCTCCTTTTTGATTAGGAGATATATATAAATAGATTACTCATACTGAAAGACAGTCAGTAATGAATAATAAATATATGGAGAAGTTCAGTGACCATAACTTAGGCAGTCGGAAATGCGGATGGAAATTCTCTGGAAAATCATAACCTTTATTTGTCGATAGATTTTCCTTTAAATATTTATCAAATTTATCGAGTGCTAATACGAATAGTCCGCATTGCAACAGAACATCTTCCTCCACCCAACCCAAAAACCCATCCCCACACAGCAACAGTTTAACAATGCCGACATTGAATTCCCATGGCAACTGAGGAAATTCCGCCGTTGTTGTTTATTTTGGATACAAATTCTTACCAATGTCAGCTAAACACAACAAAAAACGATATAAAATTTTAAAAAAGTGTTTAAATGTTTAAAAATCAAGCAAGCTAAAAAGTGAACTCAAAGAAGCCCTGTGAAAATGCGTCACTTTAGTAAATCACTTTTTTACACATCATTTCGGCAAACGGTAGAATTGTACCGATAAATATTGTAATATTTGAAAAACCTCGAAAACGTAACATAGAACAATGCCAACGATCCCAAAGCGGGAATGCAAGCCCAATGGCGGGGGCAAAGGCTCGGGAATGGATTTCCTTAGTACCGGTATCAAAGGAACCGAGGTCACCGAGATGCAGCTCAAATGGCACGAGAATCCTTGTCCAGCGCCACCATGCAAACAGGCCTTCTGGTGGGCCAGCCAACCCAAGCCGATCAAAATCAAAGGGTGTCCCAAGTGAGTAGCAAACAGAAAACTCCCAAGGAATTTTCTATGCATATCCTGTAAAAGGGATTAGAGAATTGGGGTATATTGAACAACTAATTAATTTAGTACATAATTTTTTTTTTTCTAAAAATTTGCATATATTTCAAATTTTAAGGTTAGTTTGCATTGAAATTTATTATTATAATACAATTGGTTAATTTTTAGTATAAAAGAAATCAAATATCTTCTAACATGATCGATATATCACATAAAAATCATATAATGCTAAGATACTACAAGTCTGTCCCCAGTTTATAAACCAATCTAAAAGTTAGGATCACTTTAATCATATTTAAGCCAAAATGTACAATGTAAATGTAATTCAAGTTAAGTTACTAATTAAGTAACGTAATTAAAAAAATAATATATTCTGGTATCCTGAGGGTATACTACATTTGCAAACTGTGGCTCCAATCAAAGTGACTTGCTCAACGCCTTGTGGTAGGGATTTCCTATACGTTTCCCCACTGGGGTCAATGGAATCCGAGTCCAAAAACGAAAGTCATAAATTGCGTAAGTAAATTATTAAACGCTGGCCGTGTTCGGGAGATGGTCAATACAAGGGCCCAAGTAAAGGACACGCGAGCTCGGCAACATTCGTGTCCCGAAAGGAAACAATGGATGGGTGGAATTTATGAGGAGTGTGCAAGTCGTTGAGTGCTTAAAACTAGAAACTGACGCACTATCATAAAAATATACATATATATCTGACTGAAGATAATGACAGGGGATGGACTTGGGTCGGATTAAGGTCAAACATGGAAAATGATAATCCCAAGGAATGACAAAAAAAACATGTATCGATATTAACCCAAACTAAATACCGAGTTAAGGCCAACTAAGGAAAAGTAATAGTATAATTGGGATACATGTAAAATTTGGAGGATTACAGGTATCCTCCAAAGGTTTACAAAGTCAGTTGTAGTTTGATTTCATATTGATTTGATTGCGGTCATGAAAAAGCTTGATAAGATTATCCGAACTACTCATTCATTAACAAAAATTCCATTGGTTCTTACTATGTATATAATCTAAGATAATTATAGTGTGGTTTAGGGTTTCTCCCTAAAGGTCTAAGGCCAAGAAACGATTCCAATCAATTAAAAAAATGAATGAGTAGCGGAATCCATCAAAATAAGTAGCCATACCTTTTCGTTCTTCAATCATGTACTGGAGCTATTTGACTTCTGGTGAATACCTTCTAGTCCTAGTAACAGTAATCTCCCATCTACTCACTGACCTTTCTTATAACCACTACCACATGAGCACCACCTTCGAGTGCCAAGAAATCCACTTAATTATGCTCAGTTGGCTGTTGAATTCCGCTTATCAGGCAGTCCAAGCAATTGACCTTGGCCATTGACATTAGCCGGGAGGTGTTCCAAGTAATAGAACCACCCACCTCCGATTTCAATGTCAGCCCACCAAATGCGTGAAGTCATCTCCAACAATGTGACAGGAAATGTGGACACCGTCGAATGAAATTCAAGGTCCTCTACCGGGCAAGAACCTTAATTGGAGAACCTACGAGTTGGTTGGTTGGAAAAAAGCTCTTATGCAAAGTAGAATTCCTGGGAACGCGGATTTGGCTATGCCAACGCGAACGACTGTTAACAGTTCACATTATTATTGCAACACCTGCCCATCAGGTGCCTTAAACTACATCGCGAACCTTAAGACACACTCAGAAAAAGGGGTTAAATTCTCTCTCTAAAACCCTTTAAAAATGGGTATATAAGTTGTTTAAATATCGGACTATCAGTTTTAAAATACAATTAAAAATGTTCCATTCCAAATTTTTACCATTTTCCAAAGCATATTCCTAGACACCCTTTTAAGTAATCCTACCATTTCTAAGCCTTACAAGCTTAAGGTTTCACTTATGAATATTAAAAGAAGGGTTACCTAAAATAACATCTGTTTATAAAGGACATTTTTCAAGAAGCCATTGTTTTTAGAAAAGCTTTTACAAAGTAAGCTCAAGGGCAATAACAGCTGAATTTCCAAGAAGAAGTTTCACATATTTTTCCGCCTGCACGACCGACTGCTGACCACGGGCCGAATCGAAAGTCGAAACCGGGTCCGAGCGCGAGTCCTGCGAGTCCTTTGGTCATTTGGCGTTTGCCATTCGAACCGTGCGGTCCGTGTTCCGCGGTGAAATCAAGCTACCAAACAAAGCAACACCTGAACCACAAAAAAAAAGTATAGGAAAAATATTGATTAACTTTTTCGGTGCGGCGGGTGAGAGAACCGTGTGGTGGCTATTTATAATGAACGAAGTGACCGGTGGCCGGGAGCAGGGATAACCGAGGAGGAAGCGGAGACCATGCCAGAGACGAGGCAGCAGCAGCACCCAGCACTCGCACATCCTACTGAACCCAAGCCAGATCCAGATCCAGAACACTTCCCCGACAATAGACAGGATCGCGTGCAGAACTTCTCCTTCGCCAGCAGCTATCCCTACGCACCAGGACGACTATCCTCCAACTCGAATGCGAACTCTCTCTTGAACACCAACTATAACTACAACTCGTCCAATTACAACGTCCAGCGGTATCAGAGTCCCTACAATTTCCAGCACGTGGTGACCAACGCATTTTCGGTACTGCGTCATCAGCCCTCCGAGGAGCAGGAGCTCGATTCTTATCCAACGCGACCGCAACAGGCCATCGTGCGTCCCATAAGACGTGAGGAAGGGACTGCGGATCACCAGGATCGTCATGTAGCAGAGCCTGCCGGGAATCCCCCGCCCAGATCCTTCTTCTCCCGCAGCACCCAGGAGGTTCGCAGCTTCGCCGATGAGCTGAGCCAGAAGTTGCGCTTCCTGGCGCCGGAGGAGCAGAACTACGGCGGTCGCCAGAGTGCCGGTTCCGGCGCCTGGATGGATCCAGCGATGGCTCAGCGACCTCGCTTCGAGACCACTGTGCCGCAGGGCATCTTTCTGCCGCCACCCCATGAGGTCCAGATGATACCGGCCACCATGCTGAGAAGGCATGTCTACGCCTACTCCTCGTATCCTATGATCCTGCAGGGCTACTACAGCAAGGATCCCGCCAGTGACCAAAAGGAGCAGAAGGTGACCGCCACCCGGTTGAACGGAGTGCGTGCCACGGCGGCAGTGGCCGCCGCCACCGCTGCGGCCTCCAAATCCTCCCATAACGATTCGCAATCCCTCGCCGGCGGTCTCCACATCACCAAGGCCCAGTTCCAACAGCAATTGCAGCAGCGTCGCACCAACAACAGCGACAAGAGGTAATAAAAAGACCAACCCCCAAAATGGTAAGGGTTCGAACTTTGGACTGAAAGAGGTGGGAAGGTCCAACCGCTGACCAAGGCAAAGTGGGCCAAAATATATTACCATAAATTCAAATGAGTAATATACAGCCGCGCTGAAATGGAAATGGAAACAGAACTGAACTCCCCTTTCTGGCCCCAACGACTTGGCTTACTACCTTTATCGATTGACACCTAAACAATTCAATTACAAACATATTGTTGCTTTAAGGAACCGGAAATATAGACAATATATCTCCATCAGATTCGATGAGGAAATTAGGGGTATCAATCGGGAAAGTTTTTACTATTTGAAATCAAAGTCAATATATTTTCGTAAGCATCGAGGACAAAGAAACAATGGTTCTTAAATTTAATAAATAGTTCAAGAACGATTTGTTATCAATCTAAAAAGATTGTCCCTGAAAAAATAGCTTATAATTCATGAAGGAAATTTCTAAAAACCTAGCGATTCTTTACTAGAAAGGCAAATAACTAGGGTGTTCTAAGATATCCCTAATCCGTTTTCTATATAGCGAATGTGAGCCAACACATTAGAATATTCCTCGGTAGACAAGCTATCTCAAATGGTTTGCCCCCACTTCAAACCTCGTATTGACTCTTCAACAATTCAATTAGAAATGCTTTTCCAATAACATTTGGACATTGTAAATTCCCTGAACGGTTTGATTAATTTATTTAGCGCATTCTCGAATGGGAAATTCGTTTGCCTTGCATAAAGGAACATGCGAA